CATCCGAAAAAGTCATATCTCAAATTAATTTTTTGATATAAAATTACATGGAGTATGGGTTTTTTGGACGTAAATTTTTTTTTGTAAAATTTCTACCAACTTCTTTACAAATTTGATTGTATCCCCTCAACGTTAAAGTTCTGCGTCCACCTCTGAAAGCAGAGCGGGTGATATAGCAATAAAAGCAAATTTGATATCAAGGAAAACATTACTTCATTCGGCAAGGCTATGCGTTACTTGTAGATTAACACAAATTTGAAGAGGCCCACAAGGATATCAAAGAGATTTTGAGGAATTTCTTTGACATACAATTTCTTAATTAGTTAGGAGTAAGAACTGTTATCTTTCTTCTGGCTTGGCTTCTCTTGGCTATCCACCAGAAGAATTTATCACTTACCATAAGAGCAAGACAATGAGAAGTTGAACCATCAGTTCATTAATTTCTTCAAATAATGCACAATCAATTCATTAATTTCTTCAAATATTGCACACACTCACTAAATACAAATGTTCTCTTTCATAAGAGGCTGCTATTGTGTTATGTGGACCAATTTTAACACACTCATCAATCACTAATCCATTTTAATAGTATCTGTGTAATTTATAGGAATGACAATGAAACTCGACCACAGAATCAGAATTTGGACAAAAAGCTTGTTCTTTTTACCTCGTAAAAACCTCAACTTGCAATAGTTTTTTTCTGGAAAGAGAAATACTATTAATCAATTAGGAGTAGACTAGTTCGCGTGTGTCTCGTCTAAGCTGGTCGGCACTCCCCATTCAGCGGGGGAATTAGGTGGTGGTGCCATGATGGAGCAAAGCAGCAGAGGCCACGTCATTTTCTGTATCATCCATTTGACAGATTGAAAGGTCGAATAAAGAAGTATGGATTAGTCAAGATCACGAAACCTAATTAACAGAACATAAACATAAAGCGCAAGAATAAATAAAATCAACACAAGAATTTTTCGGCCGTAGCCCCAGAGGTTCGGTGCCCGCTTCTAACGCCTAATCCCCTGTTGAGCATCCATTATAAATGGATAAAGCACTTGTTACACTATACGGACAAAACC